GGCTATCTCAGGGGACCCCTCGGAGAATCAGTGGCAACTGCAGCTGGAAATGTATATTTGTGGATAGGTTTAGGATCCCTTATGCCAGTCTGCGGAGCATTTGTTGCTTATTCATTTCCTAGCTTCTACAAAACAAACATTATTACTTCCATCCAGTGGCGGAGCCAGAAAAAATTCAGTGGCAGTAAAAGCAACTCTAAAATTTTTTATTTACTCTTTTTCTAATTTTTTAAGAAAAAAATATTCACCGACAAGTACAAATGATGCATGTATTCCATGAAAAACATAAAAAGACAAATTCAAATTATTAATGTAATAATATTTTTATTTCAAAAAACAAACTAAACCATTTACAATTACTCATGACGAGTTTTCATATTTTGATTACGGTTTACAATCTTTTCATTTTGAACTTTACGAAGTATATTTTTTTCAATATAAATAACTAAACAATCATTCATCCAAGTTTCTTCCATTCTATTTCGTAACCGATTCTTCACTATTTTCATAATTAAAAAAACACTTTCTACAGTAGATGTAACAACAAGTAAAACCAAAGGCAACTTTAAGAGCATATAAACCAATAGATACACAAAACTTAAGGGGGCACACTTGAAATTATATCAAATTTTTATAGGTATTATAGAAATTTAAGAGGGCAGTGGGGGCCCGTGCCCCCAGTGTAAATCCGTCCTACTTCCATCATCTCCATCCTGGTTTGTTTCTTTCGTGGGCAAATTACACTTTATCCCCGTGATTTAGTATTTTTGTACATAACTTCCCTATGATTTTAAAAACTATACATAACCTCCTCATGATTTGGATTAAAGTGTCAAAGTGATGGAAATGATTATTCATAACGAAATCCATGAAAATGTTGAAATTACCCGTGTTTAAAAATTAAAATGGGTGAAGTGACCAAAATATATAAATATAATATGCATGACACACTAACTTCGTATGGTTTTATGTTTTACCATATAACCCTCTTATAGTTTAATGGTTTATCATATAACCCCCTTATGGTTTTCAAAATATACACATAGCCCTCCTATGGTAAATAAATAGTTTTCAACTTTACATAGGGATTTTTTTATATTTTAGGTGGCTCCATTATGGATTACAAATTTTATCACTTTGACACTTTAATCTAAATCATGAAGAAGTTATGTATAGTTTTTGAAACTATATGAGGGTTATGTACAAAAATACTAAACCACAGGAGAGTAAAGTGTAATTTGCCCTTCTTTCTTTTGCTTCCTTTCTACTTTACCATTTGAACCGTTGGACTCCTCACTTGACTTTGCTTTTTCCATTTGTCCTTTAGGTTTTCATGTTTTATAGTTCTAAATCAGAGTAATTTACATGATGCTGTGTAGCTTATGTTGTACATCTTTTCCTATTGATAGAGTTGGTAATCGAATCCAAGTTTCATTTTCGTATTCATACCTAGTTATCAATTATGAGACTCGAACTATATGAACTTGGTTTGGCATGTCCCTATATATTTTGTACATGGGCATTGGCTTCCCATGTTTCCTATTTTGTCTGCACAGTGTGCACACAATATCAACCAAATCCTAACACATGCTAAGACAACTCTCGTACATTTGAGATGAGAGCGAGGTTGGCATAGCTATCTAAGGTTATGTGGTCAATTTACTAGCCTTCCAAGCATCATAGCAAGATTCTGATTTTTTTTCCCCATTTCTTTTAGACGAGATCCTCTGTCCATTATATCTGTTCAGTTTTCTTATTCAATACAAAACTACGTAGTTCCACTTATTAATACTACTGATGTGACACATAACATTGAATGCATATTTACGAGGTGTTCATACTGTCACTGAATTTGTTTATTGCTTGGTTTCATTCATTACATATTGGGCATGGCCTCCAGTTTGACGAGTGGAAGTAGAAACTTGGAATCTCTAACTCCACTTTTGCCACTGATAATGAAGCAGTGGATGGTTATGCAGATTACAAGGGCTGCCCAATTAAACGATCCAAATCAGGTGGATGGAGATCAGAACCTTCCATCCTACGCCAGTAAACAATAGTTTTAGACCAACATTACTTTTCTTTCTCGTCTTTTTTACAGTTTCTCCAAGAAAGAATCAAGAAAACAGAAGTGCTACACTTATTATAGTTGAGACTTGGAGGAAAAAGTTTAGACCACGCATCAATTGTATGGTATCCATTGACTAATTGCAACAATTGTGTGCTTTGAAAATGGTTTTGATTCATCAGTTGGCAGTTGACATAAATGATTTACAGGTGCTGGAAGCCTTGCGAGGTTTGCACATTTTGGAATATCATCAAATCTCATCAGCTATCTTACCGGGCCAATTGGAGAATCTGTTGCAAGTGGTTCAAAGTCTCGGCTGGAAGTATTGTTAGCCTCCAGGGACTTAGGAGCATTTTTTTGTCTACCTTTCCTCTTCCGTTTTACATCTCAGTTATCAATACCGGGTAATTTTCATTATAAGAGAGTATGAGAATTCAGGGACTCGGGGTTTTGGCCCCTTTTACAACAATTACTCCATTAATTACCAGAGCTTCAAATTCTCAATGAAGAATCCAGAAAAATTAGGGCCATAGAGTTGTGAATGAGTCGAGTCGAATTTTAAACTAATCGAGTCGAGTTTTATCCTAATCAAGTCGAGTTTTGATTCAATTTTATCATATTCAAACTCGAACTCAACTTCAAATTCGAGTCTAGTTGAACTCAGACTCAAACTTTAAAAAATAAAAATAATTATTATTTCATATTTTAAAAGTGAATGAAATAGCCATTTTTGTTTAATAAATAATAAAAATATTAAGAATATATATAATTTTACTATTAAAATAAAAATAAAAATTATATATATATGTGTGTATTTGAATTAACTCATGAGTTAATGAGTTAAATTTCTTTGTGCTAGAATTTCTTTTAATAGCTTAACCTCATTTGCTCAAATTCAAAGTTAATCGAATTCAGGTCGAGTTTTGATTAAGGAGTGGCTGCTTTAGTTGCAACTCCTCAACCTATCACATCAATTAGTCAGTCTAGTCTCAATAGCACTCCATTGGCTGGCCATAAGCGAAAATTATGTCGCTGACTGAAGTGCCTTCCAGCACCGTAAAGTCTTGGGTCATGAAAGTTTTGGGTTAAGTTACGGAACTTCTATAATTCTGGGAGTGTAGTCAATAGCAAAAGATGGGACCTTCTCTTTCTCCATTCCGCAAAAATGTCTACGGTAGAATGAGTGCATCTACATCAAAATGCAAATTAAGATAAGCGTTGAATAAATCTCTCCCTAGTTTGGATAGTTTGGCATATATACACTTTAACCTTTTTTTTTTGTGACAGTGGTGGCAATAATTAGACAGTATTTAAGAGGAAGCAAAAGAGTTTTTTCCTAAAATTTCTTTCTTATCTCAAAATTTTCTAAAAGTATAGTTTGCTTTGAAATTTTATTTAAAAGATTATGTCAACCTTCTATTAAAGGGAGGTTTTGTAATTCTATAATAATTTTATTTGAAAATTTTGACTTTTCAAACTTGGCCGTTAAATCTAATAAAATTTCTAATTGTTTCACTCTAACTACAACTACAAAAGGTTAAACTATAAATTTTCAAATCACAGGAATTAAACTATACACATCAAAATTATAGGTGTGTTTTTTTGTACTTACCCTTAGGATAATGACTAAGGTAGAGAGTTGTGGGCAACTTCAATTTCACAGCTTTGAAATCTTCATCAATATGGAGACTATAGTCTGCGTGAAAAAAAAAATAAAAACAAAACATAAATGAAATGCAAATTTTTTTTATGTATAATGAACCTAACTAACATGTATAACATAAATCCCTCCAATTAATTAATTTGTTTCTTTTCCTGTTTGGTTTTTCGGCATTAAATTGTCAATAAAATTGCAGATTATCAACAACTTGGAAAGGGAAAAAGTGATCATATTAATTGTTTGTGTGTTCATGATAGAATTTGGATGTGGAGTACAACTATCAAATGCCATATGACAAATGCATATCACCCATCCATTGGACAGCTGATGTCTCTATCTATGATGTGCAATATCCGAAAGAACCAACTAATTAATTGATTCAATTACTGTCCCATCCTCGTCCCCATATCCAGCATCCATCAATTCGACATCTAACAGGCCAATAGGAGTGGAAAGCCTGATGCCTCTACACATGATGTGTAATATCCGAAAGAACCAACGAATTGATTCAGTGATTGTACCATCCTCGTCTCGTCCACATCCAACATCTTTAAAGGGGTGACAAGAATATGCGATAAAAGATCAATTTCACATCTGATAGGAGTGGGAAGGAGAATTGATTGGAGGAACAATAATTCTACATGAGAAGTTCAAAGCTAGCTTGCGTGTGGGATTAAAAATTACCCTTAAAGAATTAGTAGTGAATTTTTCACAAGTGAAAAATCGTCAAAGAATTAATGCCAAAATAAATCAAGTTTTTTGGGCTATTCTTCAATTTTTTATTTTTTAAATAATTTTTTTAGTAGGAAGAGACAGAATTTAAGAAACAATAAGGGAAAAAGGGATTTGATCCTAAAAATTTCTAATTCTTGAAACTTCAACTTTAACCCCTAGACGTTTTGGGCTATTCTTGAATACAAGAAGAAGTGAAATTGAACAACTAAATTACGTTAATGACAACTATTACCAAATTCGGTAGTGAAATATGTCTTTAAAAAGCCAACAATTCAGTATTTTTTTCCCCTCTCTTTTTGTGAAACGTAATCAAACTAACCTTTGAACATATTTAGCCAAGAGAATCACATCATTAGCATCAAAATTCATACTGTGAAGCTTGAGTGTTGAACCAGCTGTTTCTATTTAATCTGGCCTAGTTTTGATGAGTCAGCTAGGACCATGTTCTCCATTATTGTCCTGGCTTCATTTGCACTATCCCTCCAAATTACTCCCAAAAGTAAAGCTACCTCTCTACCAGCCAAGCAAATCATACTTAGTTTGACCCCTTATCCTTCAAGTTAAAAACAGTCTTTCAAAAACTTGTCTTTCCAAAAAAACAATTAAACCAGTCAAACCTCTTTAAAAACTGGTGTCATGGCCAATTCGTGATTCGAATAGTCCAACTCGAATTGGTCAAAATGGGTAAAAACCCGAATTTTGTAACCAGTTCCTACTAAATTTTCTGCTTATTTTTTACTTTTAAAGACATTCAATTTACATAATGATGAAAGAATAAAAAAGGAAAATCTTTGAACTAATTGAATTGGAAACTCATCCAATTCACTCAACGGTTCGCTTTTTAAAATATTGGTTAAAAAGAAGAAGGGACATTAGCTATGCTGAGTAAGTACATGATTCTAACTGTCAAACCTTTCTTCTCCTGCCTTTCTTTTTCCCCCCTTCATTGTAAAGTCTTTCTTGAATCAAAAATCAAAAATTAAAAAAAAAAAAAAAGAATCCCATACTTGTAGAAAAATAATCTGTTCGTCCTCTCTCACTTTAACTTTTGTGGATTTCATTTTTCAAAAAATACATATTATAGAACTCAACCTGCATAAAACTGAGGCAGAGATGCCATTTTAATCTCCCCAAAGCTACTCCTATAAGTCCTGTTCATGCAATCATTGAATAGCTTAAAGCTTGATTTCATTCCAATTGGAGCATCCCCTATGGAGTGATGAGTGGAAGCAGAAGCACGGAACCCCAAACTCCACTCCTTGCCACTGATAATGAACCAGTGGATGGTTATACTGATTACAAGGGCTGTCCAATTAAACGATCCAAATCAGGTGGATGGAGATCGGCATCTTGCATCCTCGGTTAGTAAACACTTATATTATTGCAACAGGTACTCAGCTATCAACTCCTTTTTTTCCCCCTTTTATTTTATCTTTGTTGTAGTTTATTCTGCGAATTAAGCAGCAGAAACAGAGAACTTCCACTCGACTTAAGAGGAAGAAGAAGTGATTATTGCAACTGAGACATGGGAAAAATGTAAACTGAGCCTTAATATGAAGTGGTTTTTTGACTGTGTGGATGTACTTGATTTACAGCTGCAAGAAGTCTTGAGAGGTTTGCATATTTAGGAATAGAATCAAATCTCATTAACTATCTGACCGGGCCAATCGGAGAATCTGTTGCAACAGCTGCGGCTAATGTCAATACATGGGTTGGCGTAGCTTCACTTGTACCAATTTTTGGAGCATTTGTGGCCGATTCCTTCCTTGGCTGCTACAAGTCAATCATCATTGCTGCCATTCTCTACATCTTGGTAGGTGTCTCTGTCTTCTTTTTCCTTTTTACATCTTTTATGCACTTATACGAAGGATATAACGGTCCAGGGACTCGGATTGTTGACCCTTTCTGCAATGATTACTCCAATAGTTACCGGAGCTTCAGATTCCCAAGGTAGAACCAAGAATGAATTAGGGCCTGAATCACCTGCTATGCATATCAAAGCTTTGTTTTTTGGATCACTGTATCTGATCGCACTGGCGCAAGGATATAACACCTTTCTTCAAGCCTTTGGAGCCAATCAATTTGATGAAAAACATCCGGAAGAGAGCAAAGCCAAGAGCTCATTCTTCAACTGGTGGTTTTGTGTCGGGGCCATGGGTGCAATAGCTACACATTTAATCTTACCATACATTCAGGACAACATAAATTGGGGCATTGGTTTTGGGATTCCATTTCTGGCCGTGATAGTCGGGCTTATCCTGTTTTTACTGGGAAACAAAATGTATCGATTTCCTGCCACAATAGGTGATAAAGAGGTAGAAATCCGTTATGGGAAGAAGGACAAGGGATTCAAGAAAAGCATAAGTGCTTTGTACATTGTAGCTCCCTCATCAAGCCGTGAAGAAAGCCTTCTGCATGGCGAGTAAGGATTTTTTTTTCTTTTTTCTTTTTTTATTGGTCTAATTAAAAGTTGATCTCATAGATTTATTCTCTTCGACATATGAAGCAGGCATCTGATTTAAGCTCGAATCCAAAACAGCACATCAGAAAGAAAAGCAAGTTCCCTTATTGTAAATCTATGGGCAAATTATATTTTTCCCCCTATGGTTTAGTGTTTTTATACATAATCCCCATATGATTTCAAAAACTATACATAACTCACATCATGGTTTGGATTAAAGTGTCAAAATGATTGAGATGATCATTCGTAAAGGAATGGGCAAATTCCACTTTACCCCTTGTGATTTAGCTTTTTTTACATAACCCCCTATGGTTTCAAAAACTATATATAACCCCCTCGTAGTTTGGATTAAAGTGTCAAAGTGATGGGAATGATCATTCTTATCGGAGTCACCTAAAATGTCAAAAATACCCTTATGTAAAGTTGAAAATTATTTATTAACCAAGGGGGGTTATATGTATATTTTAAAAACCATAAGGGGGTTATATGGTAAAATATTAAATCATAAGGGGGTTATATGGTAAAATATAAAATCATACAGGGTTAATGTGTCATGTATTTATAAGGGTAATTTCGACATTTTAGAAGTTCCGTTATGAATGACTATTTCCGTCACTTTGACACTTTAATCCAAACCATGAGGGGGTTATGTATAGCTTTTGAAATCATATGGGGATTATGTAAAAAAAAAAAGGCCAAACCATAGGGGGGTAAAATATAATTTGCCCTAAAGGAATCTTTAAAAATGTCAAAATTACCTTTATTTAAAAATTAAAATGGCTGAAATGACCAAAATATATAAACATAATATGCATAACGCACTAACCCCATATAGTTTTATATTTTACCATATAACCCCTTTATGATTTAATTCTTTATCATATAACCCTTTATGATTATCAAAATATACACATAATCCCCATGTGGTTGACAAAAAATTTTCAACTTTATATAGGGATATTTTTGACATTTTAGATGACTCCACTATGGATTGAAAATTTGGTTACTTTGACACTTTAATCCAAATCATGAGAGATTATCTATAGTTTTTGAAACTATGAGGGGATTATGTACAAAAGCACTAAATCATAGGGCGGTAAAATGTAATTTGCCCTAAATCTATTTTCGAATCCGATGCATTGAGCCCAATTATCAACCAATGATTGTATCATCCATCTCACTGAAAAAATGTGTCACTCATAACTTTGGCACACAAAACAATTCTTGTTTAGAAATACATCTTTCTAGACAAAATAAGGATAATCAAAATTTTGAGCAGATTGGCAGTAAATTCCCTTTAAAACCAAGGATTAAACTTTTAACTTGCATTGGATTGTTGCTCCATATTCAGATCCTAGTTCCAAATTCAAGCAACCCCTTCCCGTATTCCTTTGATGCTGTCTTGCGGTACTCATTGCATGTGGTCGGTGCTTGCCAATATCCACGTTTTTTGATCATACTTACTAATGTAGCATTTTCTGGACAGGTTTCTCAAGGATGGCTCACCTCCTGCAGGCGATGATTCAACAAACATTAATGAAACCTCTAGCAAGACTAAAGAAATAAAGGAAGTTTTAAGGCTGTTTCCAATATGGGTAACTTGTTTAACGTATACAATTGGGCATGCTCAATCCTGCACATTATTTACTAAGCAAGCTACAACACTTGACAGATCAATAGGGCAAAGTTATAGTATACCAACTGCAGCACTTCGGATTATCATCGCCCTTTCTGTAGCGTTCTGTAGCATAATTTATGATCGAATTTTCATCCCAATTGCGAGAAGGATAACAAGATATCCCTATGGGATAACAATGCTTCAGAGAATAGGAATTGGCATGGCAATATCTGTCCTGAACATGGTCATTGCAGCTGTGATTGAGAAGAAAAGACTCAAAACTGCTCGAGATTTTGGTCTCCTCGACATTTCTAATGCAACAGTTCCCATGACTTTTTGGTGGTTGGCGCCTCAATATTTATTATTTGGACTCGTTGATGTGTTGATTAACGTAGGAATGCAGGAATTCTTCTATGATCAGGTGCCTACAGAATTAAGATGTTTAGGCCTCTCTTTTTCCCAGGGGGCCATAGGCATAGGCGATTTCTTGAGCAGCTTTCTGGTCTCTATGATTGACAAAATTACAAGCCAAGGGAGTAGAGAAAGTTGGTTCTCAGATAACTTAAATCGAGCACATGTTGATTACTTCTATTGGCTGCTTGCTGGAATAGGTGTTGTGGGTTTAATTGCATTTGTCTGTTTAGCAAAATCTTACATTTATAGGGAACCAAATAATATCAAAAACGATTCTGATGTATAGATTTACATGTACTGATTAAAGTAGGAATGCTGAAAGTTTTCTATGATCTAGTGCCTACTGAATTAAGATGTTTCGGCCTCTCTTTTTCCTATGGTACCATAGGCGTAGGGGACTTCTTCAGCGGTATTCTTGTCTCTGCGATTGATAAAGCTGCAAGTCATGAGGGTAGTGAAAGCTTTTTTTCAAATAAGTAGGGGAGGGATGGGATTGAAGAGACGGATAGGAGAAAAGGACAACTTGAATCCAAGACATAAATCGAGCATATCTTGACCACTTCTATTGGCTACTTGCTAGAACAGCTATCATGACCGAAAAGGCCTTAGTCTAATCGTTAAAATTAAGGGTCAAGGAGTTACAGGTTTTAATCCCCCACTCATTCCTTATTTTTTAAATTCCACCCTTCTCTTGCAAAAAAATCTATATACTATATTAAAAGCATCAATATGATTTGGTAATTTAGTAATTTAATTTTCTCTTTCCAATAATACCCTTGTCATAAATAATAAGGATTACAGTATGTATTCAATCCAGTACCCTCTCACATTAGCATGGGTATTTGTATACTATTGATGATGACATTTTGTGTTGGGAAAAGAATTTTATGGAACTAAACTTCCTCATAAAATATAGTTAGATATGGAATGCAGTTGCTTTATAATGTTAAATAGGAAAATCATTTAAAACGTCTCTTACATTTCGCCAAATGAATTTTTTCGCCCTTTACTTTTAAAATGTTAATTTTATATCCCTTACAAATTTCAATCAACAAAATTTGATCCCAACCTAAATTTTTGACAACCTTTTAACTTGAAATCACCGCATGACCCACATGCAGTCTTTTTTATATAGAAAAGGGTCAAATCCTACTTTTTTGGAAACAAACTTGATATGAATTGAGTTTGATCCCACTTTTTTAAAGAAAAATAAATATAGTTTGGGTCAGATTCTACTTTTTTAAGGGCAAAAATAAATATGAATTAGCATCTTTTTTTTAACTACAAATGAGATTTAATCTTTTAATCCCTAAGAAAAGACAATGTATGGGTCATGTGATGGATTCAGGGTAAAAGGTGGTCGAAAATCTAAGTTGGAACCAAATTTTACTGACTTGATCTTGTGTGGGATGTAAAGTTACTATTTTAAAGGTAAAAGATGAAAAAAAAAATTGAATTGACAAAATGTGAAGGATGTTTTTGAAAAATTTTCCCATGTTGAATTCTACAAATCAAAGTAACAATATAAGATTATATAAATTAAATCAACAAGAGTAAGGGGGGAGGGATGGGTTGGGTGGTACGGGGGGAGGGAGTGTAAGCGAGAGGTCTCGGGTTCGAATCCTCCAACTTACACAAAAAAGAAAAAATTAAATCAACAAGAGTATACATGTAGTTTCATTATAAGCCAAAGTGAAAAAAAATTACACAATAAATAAAAGTACTGATTTAAAATTCACTCATGGTTAAACTTTTAATACATAAATTAAACCCTAACAATGCTTCAGTACTCTAATTAATTACAAAATATTCTTTAACCACGCGCCTAAAAGGCCATAAGGATTAAGAAGGATGCTGAAAAAAAAAAAAAACATGCATACTCTCCAAAAATTAAGCAATGCGGACATACAAAACTCTACCAATGGAATTTCAATAAACACAAAAGTGAATAGACAACTTAAAAGGCATAAACACTACAGCATATTTACACATCATTAGTCGAATAGTGTTAAATGTATTAAGAATACTAGGGGGAAAAGCCCACGCAATGCGTGGGAGTTTAGTGCTTATAATTAAAGATGGTTAATAATTATTATTTGGCATTTTCTAGTATAAGAATTGAAGTATGATAATTTTATTATGTGATATTAAATTAAAAAAATCATAAGTTACATATTGAGTTAAAAAATATAATATGCAATAAAACATAATTATAAGATACGATCAACTATTTTGCATCTAACCTAGTATAATAAAAGACTTATTTATATCTGCTCATACACTTTAAGGATATTAAAATTTGTTATTTAGTTTGAATTTGATCATGCTATGAGGGCAATCCACCACATTATCTTGTCATATAAGTGAGATTTGAACAATTAGCATATTTGAAGAAATCATTGCTAGTAGAATTTTGATTCTTGCGAGCCAAATTCTTGAATTTATATTGATTCTAAGGACATATATCATCACGAGGTCTTCACATTGAGCAAACAATTAATTATAATTTATTGTATGATTTAGGACATATAGCAAAGCATCTCCTTTTCGATAGGGGTTACAATCACGAAATATCAGTTTTGTGTTAGTTGCAAAGATATACAACAACTAACATGCTAATTTAGAGGAATGATTACGTCAAAAAAGTACTAAAGCATCTTAATCCATTCAATTTAAGAAAAATAATTAAAAGTAATGAGGTACATACTTTAGATTTGTAGTCAAATAGTTTTAAGTAGATAGTTAAACATATTGGCAAATCAGATGAAGTGAAAAATTGTCTAAATGGAATAGTCAATAAAGTAGCAAACGATTTGAAAATTACCCTAACTAATAGTTAAAACAACAAAAGAAGTAGATGCAATCTATAAATGGGAAAATTTATGATGATAAACTTATTTTAAACCATAAATAACAATTAACAAATGTGGTCTCTTCCTTATCAAGCTTGTCTAACATGGGCAATTGAATTAAAATACTAAAAAATTATTGCACATACAACTTGCAATATTACAGATTTTTTACAACCAAAAAGTAGATTGGTTAAAGAAAACATATCTATTGAAAAAGGTGTTGCAAAATAGGGAAAAATAGTAGCTAATGTAACAACATCCGAATTAACATCTATGATAACGACCAAGAAACCAAACTTCTCTACTAATTGACATTAATTGTGTCTTAATATCTATATATCATAACTTTGCAAATAACTGATGAGAAAGACTTTAAGAAATTAAAAGACTTAGATGTTAATACAATTAAATGATTAGAAGGGCTTTTATGTAATTTCACTAAAACACAAGCTGAATTCAGTTGTACCCAATGTTTAATCGAATATCAAACAATGGCACATATCAAACTTACCCCTAGTTTTAAATGTTTAAAAGGACATCCAAGTAATTACAACAAAACTAAATTAGTTATAATGACTCATATTCAATACTCTAATTGCACTTCAAACACTCTCACATTTCCAAAAAAGTCTCATCCTTGCGGTTGAAATTCAAGCCCTAAACTCATTCTTATATAGTATAAGGATGTTAAAATTTCAAAAATCATTGTCCGACAAATTTAATAAAAAAAGTTGAGATAAATAGTCGTCTATATGTAGCTTCTAGAAGGAACATTCCAAACACCAAGGAGAATTAGGAGATTAGTGGCTTCTTGAAGAAATGTTCCAAACATCAAGGAAAATTAGGATATGAGTTTGTGATGGGATTTCTCGCAACAAAATTTTCAAGTCAGCTATTTGGCTTTGTATTCTAACCCCTTACCTCTTGTGTAAAGTGTAAACTTCTTGGCTATTGATAAAGATAAATTTGTGCATGAAACAAATTAAAATATAAGATATCATTTTTAAAATCTCTTATTGCTTCATTGTTGTATTAAAAAACAATAAGATCACAAACCTATGAATTATTTGAGCATTTATTTCTATAATTTTAATTTGAATGCATATTCTATAATTTCTAGCCATGATATTTAGGAAAAGCTAACTTTGAGATTATTGTTTAGGAATATATTTTCTTTCCAGTCAATTTCCTTATATTATAGAATAAAATGCAGTCAGGTATCATTTAGGGATAACATGTAAAGTTTAATTGAATTAAAATAGATCAAATTACATATAAATTTTTGTAGTTTTGTGTAACATTAGATGACCCCCTTAAGATTTCAAAATAGCCATATAGTCCCCCTATGATTTTGTATAAAGTGAAAGATAGACGGAATACACAATTAGTTAATGTACTGGAATTGGAATTCATTTGTATCGGTTTTTGGGTTTTGTTGACTCATGTGGTGTTATTTAGTCCTTGGATTTTTTTTATTACGCTATTAGTCCTTAAATTTAATACTTAGTATTAGAATGGCATTTGACATTTTTTTGGCCTTTTTTTATACAATTGTGGCCGGACACGTGACTGTCATATGGCTTTTTTTTTATAACAATTTGGAAAAAAATCGTCAAGGGTACTTAATGTGCTCAAAATTTGAAAGTTCGGGTACCAAATTTGTTTTCGTCCAAAATTTGGGAATTAAAACCGTTCGTGCGTCAAAGTTTAGGTACCAAAACTGTATTTTAGCCTTTTTTATTTCAGTTTGGCCGGACACGTGACTGTCACATGGCTTTTTTCGATAACAATTTGGGTAAAATCGTCAAGGGTACTTAATGTGCTCAAAATTTGAAAGTTCAGGCACCAAATTTGTTTTCGTCCAAAATTTGGGGACTAAAATCACTCGTGTGTCAAAGTTTAGGTACCAAAATTGCATTTTTCTCTTAAGTTTATTTGGAACAAAATAATCTAGCGATGGTGTTTGGAAAACTTTATGGTTTGCCTTTCAAGAGGAGACTTCAAATTGGAAATTTGTTTTCCTTTTGGGAGACTAATTCAGATTTGGATCTTTTTGAGATGACTTCTAGAAAAAAGAAAAAGAAAAAAGAATGCATTAGAATACCATGTAGAAATTAAATTTAACAAGAGTATGAGAATAAGAAATTAATTGGATAAAAGACTTTCATGTTTAACCATTTTGGACTCTATAATAAAAAATCATATAATTTTAGCCTAAATTAATCAATAGCAAATATGGAGAAAAAAAAACAAGGAAATCTATTAGTTAATATTGTGTTCAATAAATTCCATTAATTTGATTCATGCATGATAACATAGAGTAGGTCCGGCTTGATAACTTTGACGGGATGCAAAAATTACAAGCATTTAGCACTCTGTATATTCTTTAAAATGTTTCATTAATATCCCAAATAAAACCAACATACTTAGACCCCTTAATAATTGTGTAAATATATTTAAATGGGCAAAAAATTATGGTATTCTTTATGCTATGCAATACGTGCTATGAAT